CAACCCCCGCCCCAGAAGTTTTTTTTTTTTAAAATTTTTTTTTTTTTTTTTTTTTTTTTGGTACTGGGGATCAAGCTCGGGTCCTTGAGCTTGTGAGGCAGGCGCCCGAACCACTGAGCTAAATCCCCACCCCTCTTGTAAGCATTTTAGTTACACTGTTGTGGCAGTCTCAATATCCTGAAATGATTCAAAATGTTTACCTTTCATGATCATTTTGACTTTCTGGGAGAGCCACAGGTCACACGGTGCCAGATCTAGTGTGTAAGGTGGATGGATAAGGGCACATTGTAATGTTTTCAAGAGTCTGCCTCTCCACTGGATGGCACATGACAGCAACATTCACTGTATTTTTTTATCATGCCTTGTAAAAACATGAAAGACTCAGAAAGTGGCAAGAATGCTAGGATAAGTATTTTGGAAGAGAGGGGGAGTATTTTGATGGAAATTAATGGCAATGTGTCCTTTACTATAATAAACTTTTAAAATTCCAACTTCAAGCTGAGTATGGTGGCACATCTCTGTAATCCCAGCACTCAGGAGGCTGAGGCAGGAGGATCACTATGAGTTTGAGGCCAGCCTAGGCTATACAGTGGGTTCAAGGCCAGCCTGAACTACATAGGGAGACCCTATTTCAACAAAATAAAACAAAACAAAAATTCAACTTCATCATATTTTTTTGACAATTGTCTACCCTGGAAGAAGACAGCTGCATTTTGAGAGGCCCGGTTGGGGGCTTCTTAAGCCTTAGCATGTAGCCATCTCACTGGGAGCAGGCAGAGTTGTGGCCACCAGCCTCTCCCCACCCCAGGGTTCTGAGGCAGTCGGTCTGGCTTGGAGTTTAGGAATCTGCAGAGTTTGACAAACCTGCCTCATAACCTTGATATAAATCACCCTCAGGAAACCTTCCGCCAAAGGAATGCATTGCTGTCTGTGGAGACTTCTGTGTCTAAGCATCCAGAGGGGCACGTTTCAGATTACATTCATGGCTAAACTATTAAAAGCAGTGATTAATATATGGGCAGCGTTTTATAGCTTTCAAAATGCTTCCATTTATGTTTTCTCCTTTGATTCTCACAAGAACCTGGAAGGTGAGGTTGTCCTTGTCACTACTGTCAGGCTCAGGACTAATAGGAAGATAAGGACTTATAGTTAAGAGAAGTACATAGCCAGGCCTGGTGGCGCACACCTCTAATCCCAGCACTGGAGAGACTGAGGCGGGAGGATAGCAAGTTTGAGACCAGCCTGAGCAATTTAGTGACTTAACCAGACTCTGTTTCAAAATAAAAAACTAAAGCTGGGTATGTAGCACACACCTGTAATTCAAGTCCTTGGGAGGCTGAGGCAGGAGAATCATTGTGAGTTCAAGACCAGCCTGGACTACATAGTGAATTCAAGGCCAGCATGAACTACATAGCAAGACCCTATCTCAAAAGGAGGGTGGTGATACAGCTCAGTGCAAAGGCCCTGGGTTAAATCCCCATTACAGAAAAGAAAATAAGTAGCAAATTCGATAAAGGAATTTACACACAGTAGCGCACCTAAATATACAGCAGGTCCAGGTCTCATCTGAAAGTTGGCCTGACTCCAAATATAGCTGTCCCTCTGGGGGACCTCAGCTATGAACCAGGGACTGGTTTTTGCTGCCATGGTTATGAGGCTGTGCTGGCTGGGCCTGTTTGCCAGGAAGCAGAGCAGAAAGGAGCAGTGAGTGTCAGTGCCTTGTGACAACCACCTGGTCCCTCGCTGATACCAGGCCAAAGAGAGCGCTGGCCTGAGGGCAGCAACTGAGGACCTGTGAGGGAGGGGTCTGGCATCCCAGGCTGCCTTTGGAACCAGGGGGCAAAACCAGGTGCAACAAGAGGTGAGCAATAGTATAAGCCACAGCTACCTCTTCATTTAAGGAGCCTTTTCTTGAGCGCTATTTCATTTCACCCTCACATCTCTGTGCAGCATGTACTGTTCTTTCTCCATTTCATAGCTAAGTAAATGGAGGCCTAGAGAGACGCAGAAACTTGTTCATGGTCAGGCCTCTCTAGTTTAGTGGCAGGGTCAGGATTTGAACCCAACTCCCAGAGACCTCATGCTTCACTGCTGCACAAAGCTACCTTCTCCGAGGGACTTCTGAACTCTTGTGGCTACTGTCACCATCTCCCCTCCCCTCCTCTGCTCCCATCAGCAGGTGGGGTTTATCCTACACTGTCACAGGCACAGCCTTCCCACACCTGGCAAGTGCCCACTTAATGAAGTTGTCTTGGCCACCGAGTTTCTTCTTTGTATCACAATGTCTGATGAAAATAATACATTTTTACAGTTCCAGGCTCATAGTTTAGTGAACTCATTTGATCCTCACAATTCACTATTCTCCATCCCAGATGAGAGCTTTTATTTCCATTTTACAATTGGGAGATGGGCCTCAGCGGGGTACGGGGACAGAGCCAGGGTCACCCAGGGAGTGCATGGGAGGGGCAGCTCCGCGCTTCTCCCCTGCTCACCACACCCTCACCGCCTTGCCTCACTCTTTAGGATTCTTTGACGCCAGAGCCCTCGCGGTTGACTTCCGGAGCATTGGTTTCCGGGAGTGCCTCACGGAGGTCGTCAGGTACCTGGGGGTCCTGGAAGGGCCCGGCAGCCGTGCAGACCCTGTCCGGATTCGCCTTCTCTCCCACCTCAACAGCTATGCGGCTGAGATGGAGCCTTCGCCCATATCCACCAGCCCCCTGGCAGCCTTGCCTGCGTGGCCCTGGTCCTTCTTCCACAGCTGCCCAGGGCTGCCAGCCCTGAACAGCCAGCTTGCCATTCTGGGCAGAGTGCCCAGCCCTGTGGTCCCCAGCACCTCCTCTCTCGCTTACCCCGTCCCAGGCCTCCGAACCACACCCATGCGCAGAGCCTCTGGCACCACCCTTCCAGAACGGAGGGGTCTGCTGCCCAGTCAGGGGGCATCTTCCATCCAGAGGGCTGGTCCTCTGGAAAGGCCAGCTGCCTCCCTCCCTGTGGCCTCCAGCAGCAGGGCTTCCAGGAGCAGCCACCTCATTCCCCTCCTGCGGTCTCCCTCCCCTAGGCCCCCTGGTGCTGTGGGGTCTGCGGCTAACGTGGCCATTCCCGTCTCCAGGGCATCTTCTTTGGCGCCAGCTGGGAGGCCTTCCGGGGCTGTGCTCTGCCGCTCCTGGACCTCTGAAATCACTGAAATTGGTGCTTTCTGAGATGCTCCCCCACCCCCACATCCCCCAGAAGCAAGGAGGCTCTAAAAAATGGCACTGCCTTTTCTGCTTTTGCTCCCCAGACAGGCGCTTCTGTGAAGGCCCCTTCTTCACCTGTCAGAGTCCCCTCCCTCCTCCTCTCTGTCAGTCCAGTCTGTTTATCTGGCTCCTCTGCCCTGGAGCTGTTCCGATCTCAGAGGTTTGGTCCCATTTCTCACCTGTGCCGTGAGTCATGGTGTCTCAGGAGTCCCTAAGAGCTGTGCCCAGGACCCCTCTTCTATCCAGTATACATGGCTCTTGGGTCTGAGGTCAAAGCTTTAGCAAAAAGGATGCCTTGGCTGGAGGCAGGCTGCCTCATATCCTGGAAACAGTAAGTGAGCAGAGGCCACCAACAGGTTTCTTGGCACCCTGCCTGGCTGTGCCCGCCTGCCTTTGGCCACCTCACTCTCCACGGCAGCCAATGCCTGGATGCTGGGGGCTCAGCAGGAGCTGCTGCTGCTTTCCTGGTGCAGACATCCACCCTCCTGCAGCCCAGCAGGCCCCAGACCTAGGCTGGCTTGACCAGTGAGGCCAGGAGGTTTCTATGTGACAGGATGTCTGTCATGACCGCCAGGCCACACAGCACTGCCGGGAAGGAGCCAGAGATGGACGGACAAGCGAGCACTTAGCTCCCTGGCACTGGTGGTCACCACCCTCCCTGTGTGTGGTCCCACCCCGTAGGGTGCACAGTGCAGAGCACCACAGCCCACGTGGGCATCCTCTTGGGATTCAGAACCAGACGCTCGAGCTGACTGTTTTGCGTCAGCTTGCAGAGCCCAGACTGTTGCCACAGCCAAGGGCTGTCGTGCTGGACAAAAATAACTGTGAGGAGGGGAAGAAGGAAGAACAATCAGAGGTGGCTAGGCCCTTCAAGGTCACTCTGAGGGTCAAGGGCCTGCGATCCTGTTCACCCAGAGTCTGCACGCTGGCTTTGCTCAGAGGCTGTTTCATTCAGCAGCTCTGCCTTAGGCCATTTTCCTCTAAAGGAGGGACAAAGGGCCTGGTGTCCATTCCCAGTGCAACAGCAGAGACTGGAGTGGCATTCGGTGTTACCACATTAGTTGACAAAGTGCAGACATTTCTGTACTCACTGGGGAAGACCCCCACCCGCCCTATGCTTCTGAGTGTCCCGGGCACTGGGCATCTTCCCCGGGACCACCACCATCCGGTTAATGCCCAGTGGACCCAAGGCTTTGGATTCCCAAGCTGACCACTTATTAGTGCTCATGTCACACTGGTTATTAAATACTCTCCATGTCCCTGACCCAAGGCTCTCCGAAACCAGCCTTTGATGGGATCCGCCCTCCTCAGGCTACAGTAAGGAGGCTCTGTGTGCACAAAAGTAGTTTACAAAACCCTGGAGCAACGGGCCCTTTCAAAGAAGTGGGGCAGAGGGCAGAGGTTATTTGAGTGATCCAGAAAGCTCTTTTGAAAAGCAAGTTGCTCAGGAAGGGCTAAAGAGGTAAGTAAGCAACTCCTTTCATTTCTTAGCGAGGAGAGCCTGCTTGATCAGTCTGCTGTCCTGTGGAACGATCTGAGTTGGGTGACAGCAAGACAAGCGGGCCTTGCTGCAGAGAGCGGGTTATGGCAGGTGCTGCCCCTGAGGGGGGAGAGAGAATAGGGGGAGCACAGTCACATAGGCTACCAGGAGTTGGGAGAGGGGACAGAGGAAATGACAAAAGGCAAAGACCAGTCTCACCTGTCTCAGGGAAGAGCACATTCAAGACAGGAAGAGGAACCCCCGCCCCTCCTCCCCACCCTGAATCTCCCTCTCCTCCTATTCCTTGCTCTCCAGCTGGTCCCTGGATCCCAGGGTGCCCTAAGGTCCTACAGCTTGGTGACCTCCTGGCCTGAGAGCCCAGCCAGGCTGTGGGAGACACATTTCCATGCTGTGGGTACCCAATGCTGAAACAGTCTGCTGACATCACTGAAAAGAGTCGGAAGTGGCTCAGCGCTTTCAGTGTTTGGTTGTTCCCCGGTTTGTTCCCCTGAGAACTTGTCGGAAAAGTGACTGTGTGTTTGTTCCCACAGATGGGAACTTGGGTCCTCAGTCTCTGTTCTCAAGCCTCCCTGGTACCCTGACTCCACCCACCCCACCACAGGGGTGTTACAGCCAATAAAGATTTAGTTCTACTGGAGACCTCCGGTAGATTCTACTTAAAAAAAAATCTCAGGAGTCCATCGACTTGCAAGTCCACAGCCACCATACTGACCTGGCCACGTTTCTTCCCCAGGCCACTGTCCCAGCTTCCACAGGATCTCCTAGCCTCACCTCTTGCTTTGTCATCTGTTTTTAACAGATTCAGCGAACCTGAATCATGTGGATCACATCATATCCACGATTCCCTAAAACTCTTCCTCTCTTTATTCTAGAGATAGAATCCTAGGTCTTCCTCTTTTGCTCCAACCCTAGTTCGCGCCTCATTTCCCTCTAGACCCAAACTTGTACTGCCACTTCTGCCCCCCAGCTTGTCTTTATTTCCTCAGCATTCCTACCTTGCTCCTTCTAATAGCACCTCAAGCATGCTGTTCCCTTCACCCAGAATGCCGTTCTCTATCCTAGACGTGGCTAGGGTCTTGGAACCCTCAGGCCTTGGCTTCAGTGCCACCTCCTTACGGCCTTCCCTGACTACTACGCTTGAATAGTTAATCAAACTCAAAGGGCCCCATTGCTCCCTTTCCTTCTTGGGGTGTTGAGGACTAGGCTACATAACTCAGATCTCAGTCCTGAGGTGGGTGCTGTCTTGCCTCGGGCACAAGGAAGTATGTGGAAGGCCACGTGCCCTCTGGCTATGGGTAGAATGCAGATAACCTGGCACTCCTGAGGCGAGACAGCATCCGCTGAGGTCAGCAGTCAATACACAGGCATTTTCTTATAGAGAAAATCTGGTTCCTCATCAACTTAATCCTTATCCACCTATTCTCTATAGCTGCTGTCCCATGAGACTCGTGCTACCCCCTCCTACTGCGCTTCTCACTGGCTAATAAAAGCGGGCCAATGCAGTTTTATTTGAGTCTGTCCACTAGAGGCAGGTCTCCTCCCAGTCTCCCCTTTATATCTTGAAAATTGTGTCTCTCTCTCTTTGCCTCATGATTCTCCCCAAGAGGTAGCTGAGGGTCTGATCGGCCTTTGGTATCGGGGAGTTTGTCACTATATACACACTTGTGTATTTGTTCACTGGCTAACTGCCCCCACCCACTGCAACACAAGCTCTGTGAGGCTGGGGACCGTGCCTGGTCCACTTTTCACTCTGTACCCAGCACCAAACACGGTGCCAGGATTATTATCATCAGTGTCCGGTGAATCTTTGTTGAATAAATGAACTGAAGAGGTAAGAAGTCTTCTGGACTCATGCTATGGGTGCTACAAGCCCTTCTAGGGGCGATCTCAACCGAGGGGCTGACTCTCAGGGCAAGCAGGGGAGCAAAGGGGGAGCCAGGACCAAGAGACTGGATGTTCTGTAAGAATGGTCCAAGGAGGCCAAGCGTGCTGACTGCTGAGGATGTGCAGGCTGCCCGAGGTTGGTTCTTTACCTTGGCTTGGCTTGGATGGGTTCAGCTCCCAACTGATCCAGCAGACACCCACAGGCCTGACAGAGCCAGAAGTGACAAGGACACCATCACTCTGAGGGGGGCAGACCCTCTGCCTGAGTGCTAGCTGGTAAGGTGGGCATGAAGAAGTCCCTCGGTAGTGAGTTAAGGTAGGCGAGCCCGAGCGGTAAAGCCAGACTTCGCTACTAAGTCCTGATTAATGAGCTGTGGCCTTGAGCAAGTTCCTTAACCTCCTTGAACTTCGACTTTCTCGTCTATAAAATAGGGAGGATACCCTAATGGCTGCTGCTAATTGAGGAGTAACCACATCAGACACTCCCCAGGGCTTTTCCAGGTAGGAAATGAGCCAAGGCATGACGCTCTCATCTTGTCGGGTGTGAAGGGAGTGACACGACACCCACCCAGCCCTCAGTGTGCCTGGGTGGTGTGAAACAGTCTTCACATTCGTGTTATTCACAGGAGGAGGCTGGGAGAAGACTGTGAATATCTCAAGTGTGCTGTGCATTGTGGTACAGGCTTCAGCCCATAGGCAACAGGGGCCACAGAAGGTTTTTCCAAATGCCAAGGTCAGACCTTGCTTAAGAAACTCAGGGTAGTGCAGGCGATTGGGCAGGGGTAATATTTGTATTCAGCTTTATCTGTGCATGCAAACAGCCAGACGCTTTCAAAAATTATCACTGCCTAGCCAGGTATAATAGCATACACCTTGTTATCCCAGCACTGGGGAAACTGAGGCAGGAGGATCATCCAAGTTCACGACGTGCCTGAACTGCATAGCAAGACACTGTCTCAAACACACACACACACACACACACACACACACACACACAACCCACTGCCCAGGCCTCAGAGTTATGATTTAACTGATCTGGGAAGGGCTCAGGAATCTCATTAGGAGGCTTGAACCAAAGAGGTGGGATTTCTTTCCTAGTCAGGCAGATTTCCATTCCATAGATTAAACTCCAGTGTGGAAGCCTGAAAAAGACTGATGCTTTCTGAGGGGCAAAGCAGAAATTTCCACAAGGGCATCTCTGTCCCCTGGCCCTTCTCCTAGGCCTTGAACCATACATAATAGATGACTAAGAAACCTGCTGTGCTTCCAAGCCTGAGTACGGTTTGTCCCTAGTGATGGGGGTTGGTCCCCTGGGTGGCTCTGTTAGGAGGCAGTGACATCTTTAAGACATGGGCATGGGTGGGAGCTCCTCAAGGCGTTGACGCTGTCCTTTTGGAAGGGACTGTGCCGGGCTCTTTCCCTTGGCTTCTGTTGAAGTTGTGCCCATTTTCTCCTCCCAGAGGCCCTGCCACATCGGGCCTCCATCCATGCCCACACCAAAGGCCCAGTCAACACCCCCTCCCCTGCCACTGCTTGATCTTGAGACCTTGAACCTTTGACACTGTGAGGTGAATGAACCTCTTCTTCACAAGCGGCTTCTGTAGATGGCTCATTTCAGTGGCACAAAAGCTAACACGTGAGCTGAGGGCCTTGGAACATATAACTCATTTAGGGGACACTGAGTATGCCTTTGTATAAAATTCAGGATGCTGGCTTCCTTTCCTCCTTTCTGGGGAAAGCAGATAGAAAAACCAGGTCTGGACATCAGCTGACCCCAACAGTAAAAATAAGCCTTTTTGTTTGTTTTTTGAGACAGGGTCTCACTATGCAGTTCAGGCTGGCCTTGAACTCACTATGTAGCCCAGGCTGGCCCCAAACATGCAGTAATCCTCCTGCTTCAGCCTCCAGAGTTCTGAGATTACAGGTGTGTGCTCCATACTCCACACACTTGTTTTTAAAACACAGCCCCATCCAGAACCAAACCTAACTAACCAAGGTTGGCACAGGAAATAAAACTCACTGGGCTTCTCAGGACTCACTGGTGAGAAAATGAGACTTTGGCTCAGGCTTGAGTTAATGGGTACCAGACTTGGGGATCTCCAGGCCTAGCGCCCGTAGTGCCTGGCCCAATACAGTGAATGACCGAGGTATTGGCATTACGTATGTGGCCCCAGGTACTGAGGACGGTGTCCTGTGGGGAGACACGGGGTAGCTGGGAAAGAGGCTGAAGCCGGCTCCCTAGGATGCAGCCCAGTGCTTGGGTCGCTGAGGAAGGAACCCCTCAGCCTCCCTGTGTGGTCAGAGTTGAGGCCCCGCTCACAAGTGCCACAGTGACATCTCTGGCCGGGACCAATGTCCAGACTTGGATATCAACAGCCAGCATCCCAGAGGCGTCCAAATTGGACCCAGCCAAACCACACCCACGACATCCGCTGCCTTCCCGACACACAGGCCTCAGATCTTCAGGGCCCCGGGAAACAGCACCTCAGTGCTTCTGGTTGCTCAAGGACAAAAGCCCTGGAGTGTTCCCTGACGTCCCTCTTTTTCTCCCAGCCCACATCCCGCCTGCTAGCAAATCCCATCAGTTCTGCCTGCAGTGTATATCCAGAGTCTCGCACTTCTCACACCCACTCTGCTCCACTTGCCCGAGCCCTCGCTGGTCACCATCTCCCCTCTGATCCTGTGCTGGCCTCCTGGGCTCCCTATCACCCACACCATCCGTGTGTCCCATCGTCCATCTCCTCAGAGCAGCCCCAGGGCCTTTGAACGCAACAGGGCCTTTCGCCCAGCCTCTTCCAACGACTTCCCAGGCTGCCGGAAGGCCAGAGCCTTTCTGGTAGCTCCCACCCCAGCCCTCACCTCCAGACCTCTCTCTCGGATCTCACCCATCCTGTGCTCCCTTCCAGAGTCCTGGCCTCTTTACTGATCCTTGAAGTGGAATGAAGTCCTCTCTCAGGGCCCTAGCCCTTACTCTGCCTATAGGCTCTGCTCCCAGATGTCCCTGTAGCTCCCAGGTCCACACCACTGGCCCCTACATCTCTTCAGGTTGTTTTTGAGACACTGTCCCACTGTGTAGCCCAGGCTGGCCTCAAATTCCTGACCTTCCTGCCTCAGCCTCCTTTGGATTTTGCTCAAGGTTGCTGCAGTACAGCCTTCTCTGACAGCCCCATTTTGAACGCAAGCCTCCTTCGTCCAGCCTCAGCCTCCTGGTCCCCTTCCGTGATCTACTTTGGCCATCTTCATACTCACACTAAGAAAAATATTACTTTTTGAAATTTCATGTATCGTGTATCTCCCTTCCTAGAATGCTCCAGGAGGCAGGGATTTCTATGTCTTTGCTATTCCCAGTACCCAGAGTGCTGCTATTGGAACACAGCAATAATACACAGTAGCAATGCACCATACATCACAGATGAATAGTAAATACTAGCTGAGTTCATGATAGCTTGATTTGTTTTTTTGTTTTGTTTGGTTTGGTACCAGGGATGGAACTGGGGACCTTGGCTTGGGAGGCAGGCGGTGGAACCACTGAGCTAAATCCCCAGCCTTAGCTTGATTTGTTTGTGTATGTGTGTGGTTTTTTGTTTGTTTGTTTGTTTGTTGACAGGGTGTCTGGAACCACTGAGCTAAATCCCCAGCCTTAGCTTGATTTGTTTGTGTATGTGTGTGGTTTTTTGTTTGTTTGTTTGTTTGTTGAGACAGGGTCTCACTGTGTAGTTGAGACTGACCTGGAACTCACTATGTGGCCCAGGCTGGTCTCGGACTCACAGCGATCCTTCTGCCTCAGCCTCCCGAGTGCTGGGATTACAGGCGATGTGCGCCACCACATCTGGCTGTGTGTTTGTTTTATTGAGACAGGCCTCACTGTATAGATCGGGCTGGTCTTGAACTCACTATGCAGCCCGGGCTGACCTCAAACTCATGGTGATATTTCCACCTCAACCTCCTGAATGCTGATGTTACAGATGTGCATCATCACGCCTGGGTGGAGCTGGAATTTTAACCCAGATGATTTGACTACAGAAACCAAATTCTTTTTATATTTTATTTATTTATTTTTGTTTTGTTTTGGGATTGAACTCAGGACCTTGCACTTGTCAGGCAGGGGCAGTGCCACTGAGCCACATCCCCAGCCCTCCAGAGACTAAATCCTTAGCAACTCTACTCTGTCGCTTTCTTTTTGTTTGTTTTTGGAAGATTTTTTTTTTTCTAAAGCAGGGTCTCCCTATGTATCACAGGCTAGCCTTAAACTCACCATGCAGCCCTGACTGACCTCAAATACACAATACTCCTCTTGCCTCAGCCTAGGCTGTTGTATTGGTTTTAAATGAATGAATGGGCCAGGTATGGTGGCACAGGCCTAGAATCTCAGCATTTGGGAGGCTGAGGCAGGAGGATTGCCCTGAGTCCAAGGCCAGCCTGACTGACATAGCAAGACCTTATCTCAATACAAACAAAAACCTAAACCAAAACAAAGAAAAACAGGGAATGAATGAATGGGGAAAAAATGGAGAAAAGTTTTTGTACCAAAATCAGTGAAATTTGGAGTCAGACAGACTGGGTTAAAATTCCTGACTTGCTATCTACTAGAATACACAGTTTGGACAATTTTGTTTTGTTTTTCACAGGATCTTGCTATGTAGTTCAAATTGGCCTTGAATTCATAATGTGGCCCAGGTTGGCCTTGATCAGCTATGCTGGGATTATAGGCATGTACCACCAAGTCTCTCACCTTTAAATCTCAGTATCTTCGTGGGCAAAAGGAGGGTTAAAAACTAGGTTTCAACTACCTTAAATTCTTCCTTTCATTATGTATTAAATTCATTATCCCTTACTGCCCCCTAGTGGTCAGCTAAAATGAAAACGTCACAACTGCTGTGCCAAACAGATGCTTCTGGACTATGGGTTAAGCCCCGATACTGTAAACCCATATAAAGTGGAAAATACAGCAAGTTGAAAAGGGCTGACTTGCTTGCTTGCTTGCTTTCTCTTTCCTTCTTCATTTTGCAGTACACCTTTACACTGAGCTACATCCCCAGCCCATTTTTATTTTTTATTTGGGGACAGGGTCGTGCTAAATTGCAGGGACTGGGCAGAAACTTACAATCCTCCTGCCTCAGCCTCCCAGAGCACTGGAACTCCTCCAGAGCACTACCACCACACAGCCAGTTGTTCTCTTTTGTAAGAACTCCTTTCCAGAGAACAAGCTGAAATAAAAGACACTCAAGTTCATCTCACATGAGGGCAGCACTCAAAGACCTGAACACTTCCCACCATGCCTCACCGCTCAGCACGTCACCAGCACTCCAGGGGGACCACGCTGTCACCTCGCGACCCCAGGAGGGACCCGCGGAAGCCGCCTTCGCCCAGCGCAGCAGAGCCGGTTGAAAGGCTGCTCATGCGTGACTCCGATGTGACATTCAGGAAAAGGAGCCTGCAAAACAGATCTGCGGTGGCCAGATCCGGGGAGGGGAGGGAGGACGGTAGAGCAGGGAGGATCCGTGAAAGTGGGGACCTGTCAGGCATACTTGTCAACGACAGACTTTGGTGACAGCGTCACCGAGGGCTGGGCTCCTCGGGTGGGGACGCGGGGAGGCAGATGCGCGGAATGTAGGCTTGGGCGTTGGCAACTCTTACTTTCCACTCAGTTTGGCTGGGAATCTAAAACTGCTCCCCCAAATAAATGAAGATGTAGCATTTGTTCATGGATGGGAAAACCGAGTATGGTAATACATCTTTCAGTAAGGTGGTGGCGCGTGCCTATACTCCCAGCACTCTGGGAAGCTGAGGCAAAAGGTTTTGTTTTGTTGTTTTTGAGACAGCTTCCCTGTGTTGTCCAGGTTGGCCTGAAACTTGTCATCCTCCTGCCTCAGCTTCCCAATTGCTGGTGCTGTGTCAGTGGATCTGGGCTCACCACCCTGCCCATAAACTTTGCCGGGCTTGTCTCTCCAGCATAGAACGAGGAAAAGGATCAGAAGTCACGGTTCAGAGAGAAAGCAGATTTATTGTGGCAGTTCACAGCCACTCCGGGGACAAGGGGCTTCAGAACTGGGCGGCCTCTGGATATAGGACAGCAGTCCTGTCTTTGTGGGACACGGGCTGTCTCTATCCACCCATGTAATCGGTGAATGGGCTCATTGTTAAGGGTACAAGACCATCCAGTGCGTCCGGGAGTTACTCCACAGAGTTAGGGACATTTCAGGATGTTCAAACCACAGAGGAGCGGGGGAAACAGTTTGAGAGCCGATCCAAGGTTATCTACAGTGTGATGGGCTGGTTGCTTTAGAAGTAAAACCACAAAACTGCCTGCTCTTAAGCAGAAGCTACTTTTCTCCTCCCTTCTAAAAAATCCCATGTCCCTTACTCTAACCTTACCCAAGGGTCCCCTCTTTCCCTACACTGGGATTACTGCACTTCATTTCTTATTTCTGTTTTTAGTGTTTGTGAGACAGGGTTTCTCTATGTAGTTCAGGCTGATCTTGAACTCACCATGTAGCCCAGGCTGGCCTCACACTCGAGGCAAACCTCCTGCCTCAGCCTCCTGAGTGCTGGAATTGCAGGTGTGTGCCACCACGCCCGGCCACTGTACTTCATTTCTAACAAACTCCTAGATGATTGTGATGGTCCAGAAACCATGCTTTGTCAGTATCACGGGAAGAGAAAGGAGGGCCCAGGACCCAGGAATAAAGCAGGAACATCCAAGATGGATAGAAAAAGAGCAGCTTGTAAAGAAATTGCCCAGAAGGGACCACTGGGCAATGGAATACAAGGAAATCATGTGGTTACTTGCAAAATATCCCCACAGGAGTCTGGAAGCTCCAGGAGGGCAGGGCCCAAGACTATCTTGGTCTCCGCTGTATCCTCAGCACCTCCTACCACAGAGTCTGGGATAAGAGGCATCACGTTTGTTAGATGGAAACGCCAAACATCACAGAAGCCAAGAAGGGAAGCACTTCAAGGAGGAACAGGTTGGCCACGTTGAATGCTCCAGAAAAGTAACAAAAATCAAAGCTGCGCGCCCCTTACCTACTCCAGAACCCCCACCCTCAGCACACACCAAGTTTTCCAGAAAACCGGTGTCATCAGCCCAAAGCTGCCCCAGCTTTGTGGACACTGCCCCCGCCCTTCCTCCCTTTCTTCTCCTCCTGGGAGGAGCTGTGAAAGACACCACCCTCCTCCATCCCAGCCTAACTCCCCACAGAGACCGGCTCCCACCGCCGCCTCTTTCCCTGCAGACTCTGCATCTGATTCTTCATTCTCTCTGGGATCCACTACCTCTTCCCTGCGACCCTCTCACCTCCTGCAGCGGGGAACCTCCTCCACTTGCCGCCATCTCTGAAGCCTCCCAGATAAATTCAGGGATCGAAATCCCATCCACTGAGCGTGCTGGCCAAGTCTCTGCTCACGCTTGGTGCTCATTCGGGGCCCTTTCCATGCGGCTGTCTGGAGGGTTTCACTCGTCTGCTTTCTCCCTTCCATTCCCTGCTGCCCTCACACATGTGTCACAAACCTGTGAGGCCACTGGTTAGCTCAGCCAGAGTTTCCGAGTTATTCCCGCACGCAGACACCGCTGCTGGACAGGGAGGAAGAGCCTGAGCCAGCCACACTCCCTTTCTGAGCTACACCCAGCCAAGTCACACTGCCTTCCGACCTGGTACAGTTGATAGTCTAGGAAAGACAGATTACTAGAACTGATGAGGAACCTTTACAGGCTCTGAAGGGGCATAGCACACTGCTGTCTTACAGAGGCTTGTCGTGAAAGACCTCTGCAGGGAGGTGATGGTGCTACCAGGTTTTAGAGCACTAAAGTGTCCTTCTAGAGGTGCACTCTAAGGTTCTTTCCATCCTGAGCAAATAATTGGTTTTGAAAAAACAATGCAAAGAGGAAGCCAGTCATGGTGCCCCACACCTGTAGTCCCAGCACTCAGGAAGCTGAGGCAGAAGGATCGCCACTAGTTCGAGGGCAGCCTGGACTAAATAGTGAGTTCAAGGCCAGCCTGGACTGTATAGCAAGATTCTGTCTCAAAAAACCGAAAAAGAGGTGTAAAAGGTAGGGAGCTTTTACATTTACTAAAGGTCTGAGAAGTTAAGAAACTGGCTCTGCAGAGTGAGTCTGGACAACTAAAGGTATGAAAAGAGATGTTAACAGTGGTACTGACTTGATGGTGACCATCTTTTTGTACCTCCCACTCCTCAGCTGAGGTCAGGCCCAGGTCGTCCTATCAAAAATCTGTAATTGAAGACAGCACTCTCTGATTGGTTCAACAGCAGGGCTTTGTGAACTGTTCTTTGCAGTGTGTCCTGGAACTTTGTAATTCCTGGAACTTTGTAATTCACAGGCCACACCTACTTCTCCAGCCATTTTGCCTCTCCCTGAACTCCTGCCCTGATAGAAAAAATGCAGAGGCCATTGTTTTACACTCTTGCTTTGGGTCCAATACATAGGCTGAAGATCAAAATGGAGTCACTCATGTGACCATAATCACTAACCTGAAATTGGGCTGTTTATCTGACCCGAGAAACAGATTTAGAGAGATAATAGTCAAATTTCCCAAACAGGCCAATTTCAATGGTCAAGATAATGATGTTCACACTGCCTTGATCCTTACACACAAAAAAGTAAGCTAGCTGGGCATGGTGATGCATGCTTGTAGTCCCAGTACTCTGGGTAGCTGAGGCAGGAGGATCCCAAATTTTAGCCCAGTCTGGGAAACTTGGTGACTTTACAAGATCTTGTCTCAAAATAAGAAATAGCCAGATTTGGGCATGCCTGTAATCCCAGCACTCAGGAGGCTGAGGCAGGAGGATCACTGTGAGTGAATTCGAGACCAGCTGGGCTACATAGTGAGTTCCAGGTCTCAACTACATAGTGAGACCCTGTCTCAAAAAAAAAAGCCAAAGTGTTATGGTGTACAACTGTAATCCCAGTGCAAAGGAGGTTGAGGCCAGAGGATCATCACATGTTAAGGTGAGGTCAGCCTAGGCTACATAGTGAGTTCAAGGCAGTCTGAACTACATAGTAGTCTGTCCAAAAAAAAAAGCAACAACAAAAGCAAAACTCAATAAATTTAAAAGTAAATAAGTAAAAATGAATAAGTACATCTAAAAAGGCGAGGGGTATAACTCAATGTGAAGGCCCTGAGCTCAGTCCCCATCACCACACACACACACACACACACACACACACAAACACACAAAATCAGTTATTTCCCCTGCTATCTCTACATCCCTGCCTTATAAGGAAATTGGCTTTGAAATAACCAACTTCCTTTGCTCTGCTTTTTTCAGCCTCCTATCTATAAAACCAACCTCTTCTGCTCAGCCCATATGAATTTATTGTATTTTACGCAATGAAGTATTGCCCAATTCTAAAACCAAAAATAAAGCCAATCAAGATGGCTAAACTGAATTACTGTGATTTTTGTTCTTTGACAAAGGGCATCTAAAGAATGAGAAGGGAGGGCAGGAGTATGGGGAAAAAATAAGAACCAAGACATATCCTGTAAAGGTACAAGATCCCGATGATACATGTAACTCAATTGTTTGCTTTAAATGCACCAATCAACTTAATGGGGAAAAAAAATAAAGAATGAGAATGAGCCAGGGGGTGAAGAGCTGGGGAGGAGTCTGTGCAGAGGCCCTGAAATGGAAAGGGTTCAAGGACAGGAACGGGGCAAAGCCAATGGTTGGAGCATTGTGCACAAGGCTTAACGTCGAAGAAAATCATGGTGGGCAGGAGAACTATCACTACTGGCTTTGCCCAGCCTTGGCAGCTGCAGTAGAGTGCCCGGATGTTCCTGTAAAAGCAGCAACAGACTTTGTAGGACTGGTGCATAGGACAGGTTTTAAATATCTACTCTGGCTGCTGTGTGAAAAGTAGGCTGGCACACCTGGAATCCCAGCACTCTGGCGGCTAGTGCGGGAGAGTTATGAGTTCAAGGCCGGCGAGGGCCACGCAGTGAAACCCTGTCTCAGGAAACAATGGATCAGAAGCAGCAACAGCTGCAGGCAGCTGGTGAAGAATCTGTCGCCTTGGTCCAGGTGGGAGCCACTGGTCTGCAACTTTCCTGCCAGGGCTGCCCAGGTTTGCAGGCCAGGCTCCCCGGGGAGCATCCTTCCTCCACCAGAGTCCCTGTGCCTGGCAGAGTCCACGTCATTTCATCCCCATCTATCACACGCTCTAATCTACAGCCCCAGGAGCGCCTTTCTCCTCACCTTTCTTCGGTCTCTGACTCCCGTGCCTTCCACACGCCAGACTTCTCTGAGAAATGTCCTTTCTTGCAGTTGCCGCCTGGCAGGACGAGACCACGGTATGAGGGGATGGCGGCTCAGTCTTGGAGAAGAGCATCCGGGAGCAGCCATAGGACAGAGTGCTTCAGATCCTCGTTCATTCTGGTCATCTGTAGGATGTGAACCAAGGTGTCACCCCCTCCAGGTGCCCCTTGGAGCGACCACCAGGTCAGAGGCAGGACAGGGCCATCTTGGCCCCGCCCTCGAGGCAGACAGGAATGCTGGGGACCCCAGTGTGGTGAGGGGCCCGGCTGCCACCTGTTTGGCCACAGAGGGATGCAGCCAGGACTCTCCAATAGTGTTTTTAATCTCCAATAATCCCATACAGAGTGGACACTGTATAGTTTCATATATCTTCATAATGTGCTTTACTGCCTTCTAGATCATTTATTTTGCAACACATTACTGCACAGTTGTAAATAACTTATGTACTGTAATGTCACTTTCAGTTATGTGTAAAGAAATAAATTAACTAATTTTTTTTAAATGTCCTTTCTCATCTGTCTCTGCTGTCACTGTCCTTGTTTGGGCGCTGAACATCCTTCTCATGAATGTTTTCTTCCCGTTTCATATGAGTTGTGTCTGCCACTGAAAATAGATACGTAAAAGTCCTACCAGGTGTGGTGGCACACACCTGAGATCTCAGCATTCTGGGAGGCTGAGGCAGGAGGATCAAAAGTCAAGTCTCATATGGACAATTTAGTGCCATCCTGCCTCAAAATAAAAAATCAAAAAAAGAAAAACGGGCTTTGGATGTAGCTTAGTGTGAAGTCTCTGAGGTCAATCCCCACACAAAATTTTTTAAAAGATATGCAGAAGTCCTGACCCCTAGGATTCAGAACGTGACCTTGTTTATGTAGGGGAGAAGAACTCATATATTTTCCCACCAAGGTCTGTGGGTGAGCCGAGGATTTAGCTCAGTGGTTCTGCTGCCTGCCTCGCAAGTGTGAGGACCAGAGTTCGATCCCCAGTACCAAAAAAAAGGGGGGGGGTTCATAGCTGATATCCCTATAACAAAAGACAGATGAAAAAAGCATAATAAATGTATTTAATAAAATTTTTATGTGAAGATGGGCATGTGGTACACACCTATAATCCTAACTGCTCCACAGGCTGAGACACAGGCCTCACAAGTCTGAGCCCAGCCTGGGCATTTAGTAACATCTTGTCTCAAAATCAAAAAATAAAAAGGGCTGGGAAGTAGCTCAGGGTAAAGGACCTGGATTGAATTCCTAGTACTGCCAAAAAGAAGAACAAAAAGAAGCAAAGATGAATTCCTTCGTATGTTACAGAAGGAATGTGGCCGTGTTGACACTTTGATTTGGGACTTTTAGCTTCCAGAACTATGATACAATAAAGTTCTGGTTTCTGTGTGTTTGGTTGGTTAGGGTTTTGTTTTGTTTTTGTTTTGTGTTGTTGAGGCACGATCTCACTATGTAGTCAGTTCATCATCCTTCTGGCTGAATCTTCTGAGTGCTGGAATGGCAGGTGTACACCACCATGCTGGGCTAAATTCCCTTGTGAGGGTGGTTTTTGAGACAGGGTCTCGCTATGTGTTTCAGGTTGGTCTTGAACTCACTACGTAGCCCAGGCTGGTCAAACTCACAGTGATCCTCAAGCCTCAGCCTCCTGAATACTGGGATTGCAGGTGTGTGCCACCACCCCTGGTTCATTTGTAAATCTGGTTTGGGGGCCAGGGATGTAGCTCAGTGGCACAGGCCCTGCCTGGCAAGTGTGAGGTCCTGAGTTCAATTTCCCAGCAAAAAAAAAAAAAAAAAGTCTGCTTCGTGGTACTATGGTCACACTAAGACACTGTACACCCACTATTTCAACTCCACACCAGCCACCTGAAAGGGCTTTCAATATTTACACCACCCAGGTATAGTATAACGTCCCCAGAAGTATTGAGGTAGGACATTAGGAAGTGGTAAAACTGGCCGGGGAAGTAGCCGTGATCTATTAATTACAAGATCCCAGACACATGCACAGGACAGTTCCAGAAGCCCTGCATATGGACTTCTCATGGGAACTCAAGCAGGTTCTCACTAGGATGACCTAGACCTGAGGTCAGCCTGAGGTGTGGGATCCCAGTGTCACTCTCAGGACCCATATGCAGAAGTTCTCAAGGGGTTCCTTGAGATTTGGACAGTATAAAGGACACACCAAAGCCATGGAGAGCTTGGCTTTCCCCACAGTAGCTGTGCCCCCTGTATTTTCTTTTGTGTTGCTTTTTCCTCTTTTAGTTGGCCCAAGATCACTCTCCAGAGCTAGTTTCTACCTCACTCTTCATTTTTACTTTCTCAAATAAACTTTGCTACTGCTTTTCGCTTGTTTCCTCTAATTCTTTAAGATGAGAAGAACCTGCAAATCAGCTCCAGAAGGAGATGAGAGCACCACAAAACCCAGTAACATTCAACTGGTGAGCCACTTTTAGGAGAAGCTACCCAGTAACAGTATGGGCGTAAGGCATGAGAGGTACTAAAAGATCTGGCTTCTAGCCAGATCTCCACTTTTTTCTCACCCGCTTCTTCTACTGGTATTTAACCCAGGGCCTTGGCCCTGAGCTACTTCCCCAGCCCTTTTTAGGTTTTGTTTGAAGATTTTTTGTTTTGTTTTGTGTGTGTGTGTCTGTGTGTGTGTGTGTGTTGTGTTTGAGTCAAGAGTCTCACTGCGTAGTTCATACTGGCCTGGAAATCACAATGTAGCCCATGCTGGCCTTGGGAGAGGGAGATACTGGGTATGGTGGCACTACCACCATGCAAGATATAGCAGGAACAAGTTAGATTTACCCATGTTGACATAGGTTTATGCCTGTGACACTCTGTTAAGTACATAACACTGATAGGACCACAGATAAAGATGCAGAAGAGTTCTATAAAATAGTGACTGCCTGGGGGAGGTAGAAATTTGGCTTTCTCCCTCCCCTGCCAGTACTGAGATTGAACTCAGGGCCTTCACACCAATGTCAGAATCCTGCCAGCAGGTCCCAAAGCCGAGGGAAGAACAACAGGAGAGCAAACAGTCTCACAGACTTAGTTCCAGGCTCATGCTCTCTTCGCAGCAAGGCCCCGTTTATTTTTCAGGGTGGGGTATATATAGGCTAAAACCGAAACCAAAAGGGTAAACAGAGTGTAGCCGACTACAAAGGTCACAAGGTTCTACAAAACAAGTATTATGGGTTACATTTGCTAGGCAACAGGTCAGACCACCAGTTGAACTAGCCCGTTACTAGGGGCGACAGCACATCCGTGCCGGCGAGGTGACTCAAAGTTCAATCATGGCTGTGCCTATGTCAAGGCTCACCATAAAGGCTCACTGTACTAGGTGACTCAAAGTTCAATCATGGCTGTGCCTATGTCAAGGCTCACCATAAAGGCTCACCGTACTTCCCCCATCTCTCTCATGATGAATGCTAGTCATTCATCATGCATCAGCCAAGGAACCTCTGTCTTAGGCGGCAGAAGTCTTCTATCTCCTTACCCGTCATCAGTCGCAGGGCTTATGTCCCAGTACGACCTGTCTTAGGTTGGTAGACAGAAGCTTCCGTCCTTACCCGTCATTGAGTATCCCAAGGCGGGGGATCTATGCACGTCGAGCCTGAGCCAAGTAAATTGCCACGCGTGTCGTATCGTCATCTAAAGAAGCCTGTACAGCCATAGCTAGACTTCCATGACGAAACACAAAAGATTGACACATTCCTGTCATCCTGCGACACATACAACAACCACAAATACAAAGAACCATCAAAAGTACAATGATCACCAATACAGGAGCAAACCCCACAGAAAAATACTGTTCAGCGGCAGTACCGAAATGTTGGCCTGAGGAACACGTGAATCTGCTCACCAAAGTCCCACAGATAAGCCTAAGTCCATGCAATATTCGAGTGACCAGTCCAAAAACCCTTGAGATGTCTTATTAAATCACCAGTCCCATTAAATCCTTGTTCTGGACAATAAAGTCTCCGCTTGTGCACCAAGACACATCCTGGAGTTTTCTCTGCTGCTTCAGTGTTGGGGTCCCAATCCGGTCTCCTCAGTGGAAATCCAGCTTCAAGCTGTTCAGGGATAGTGGTGGGTCTATAAATATATCTGTAACCATAATTAGGTATAGCAGAAGAGAAGGGAGAATACCTGGACCAAAAGGTTATTATCATAAACAATATGCTGGAAAACCTGCATGGTCAAACAATATAAATGCATTTCGTATACCAGAAAAGTAGCAATAATAGTTATTATAATTAGATGAATTTTTATGTCCTGTAATGTAGCTTTGTATCAACAGGATCTTCCTTTTTTTTTTAACGGAAAATAACCATCAGCAACATATTACAATAACATTTCTACAATTCAGACCTTTGATAACCAACAAAACATTCCCAACAGCATATTCAACAAAATATATCTTTTTATAAGGCTATGAAAATTATTTTGGTGGCTCCCATTAGTGAAAAGATCAGATATAAATTTTCTGAGCAGCTGCTTCTTTATTTACCAAAAGGAGGGTATCTAAACTTAATTTTAATTATCTTTTAATTTTTATTTGATCCTATAAAACCAGATTGTAGAAATCAACAATCCACTTGCATTTGACGTCATTCTGATCAAGAACATACAAACATCTTTGAACATTTAAGACAGACAAACATGTAACACTTAAGACAGACAAACATGTAAGACAATTTTAATGAGTGCACTCAGATGGTTTTGGCCAATTGAATTATAAAATCTTTTTGTTATGACTAGTCAAAATTCTTGCAGATCAAAATTAACAGAGATCTCTTGTAGAATTAGGGTTAAAGGAATGAATACTCTTCTTGACTATAAATGTAAACCTTTTATAACAAACTTGAAACCAACAAGCAAATATTTTATAAATCATTTCCATAAACATTCTCTACATTCTTAGGTAAAGACAAGAGGAACATACAAAAACCTTTCATGTTAAAAGTACAACTCTTACTTATAGCTTTCCTAATATTATTCTATCTCATTTACTATTAACCTTCTATAACAAACTTCCGTTTAAAGTGTCCTTTTTCTGCTTTTAGACTGTTACATCTTAAAATTTGACTGGCTGCTAATAGAACAGTATTTCGGAGTGGAAAAGCAATAGTAACAACTGGGCTATACGTCCCCCTGGGGAGATAGCAAGGACTTCTTGTGGGGATGACGCCGTAATTTATTTACTTATTTTTTTTTTTTTTTGCTGATAGATCCGTTTAATCACACAGAAGCCACACGGACACTGCCTCCTCCAGGAAAGGCACTTTCCCCCTTCCTGCGCAGTTCGATTGGCTACTGCTTGTGCCCAAGCAACAGTCAATTGATTGCTCACATCTGCACAAAGGCGAATATAGCCTGTAAGATCAGTCTTTGTTCTCCAAGGTCTCAGCACAGGTTTACACCATTTATTGGCATTTTCATAAGCAAGCTGGAGAACAAAAGGCATCCCGGTTTCAGCGTCAGGGAATATCTTTCCTGCTCCATCTAAGAGTCTGTGGACAAACTCAGCATAAGGCTCATCTGGTCCCTGCCTGATATTTCCCAGGCTAAAACTAAGATTGACAGCATTAGGCAACTGTTTCCAGGCCCTGACGAAACACCATCCAATCTGATCGAACACGGGGCCTCCCATAGTTATCTGAGCTTGGGTTGAGGCATATGGTCCTTCCCCCATCAGCATATCCAGCGTAGCAATAGCCACACCCGCATTCGTATTTCTGCGAGCAGTCTCACGACACTGTTCCGCAAAGAAAGACTCCCATAAGAGGAAGTCGCCGTCTGACAGGACAGCACGAGCTACGGCCTTCCAATCATTAGGAATCAACCATGAAGTAGCCAGTGACTCTAAGATCGCAGTTGTAAAAGGAGCATTTGTACCATACTGATTAACAGCCAATTTTAATTCCTTTACCAACTTAAATTCTATTGGGCGGTGTTCGTATCCACCTTGTTGGGTCTGAATAACCGGAAACCCAAAAATTTCTTCTCCTCTATTTTTCGCCTCAGTTACTGCCACCTCCAATGGCGTGGGGACATAAGGTCCACGCTCAGCAAGGGCGGGCTGACTTATGGGGGATACCCCGGCAGCTGCCTTTCCCGAGATAGCAGCTACAGGGTCGGCCGGAGGGAGAGGAGTCTCCTCAGACCTTTGTGGTCCCTTTAACATTCTCATTTGTTGAGCTATCTGAGCTGGCTTCGGTTCGAGTAGGAGTTCTTCCTCCCGCCTCTGACATGTCAGTCGCAACTGAGCGAGGCGTGTATCTACCTCGTCATTCAATGGCGGGGCGCTAGGTGGCAGGCGCTCCTCGCAAACAGGAAGACAGGGGTAGATAGACGCAGGTGGCTCCCCGTGCCGCGACGCCGCTGGTGCGAGGTCAGCAGGCAGGGGAGGAGGACTATCTGGAGGCTCCGGAGGAGGCGCCGAGGCCTGAGACTTTTCCTCTCGAATTTGTTCCAATTCCTCATGAACCTCTTCGAGAGCCTCAGATATTTCCCTTTGAGAAGGAGTTCTCAAAGCTGTATTTAACAGTGCCCAATAGGAGAATAAGCTCTCCGGAAACCTATCAGGATCGGAGGTCAAGGCCTTCTGCAGCTCTTTACCTACTCTTCCCCAGACCTCTAGATTTATCTCAGCCGCGTCACACAGCCATGGACAAACTTCATCCACTATTTTCACAAATGCTTCCAATTGAGCCTTCTTAACTTTAACCCCCTGTACTTTTAGCAACTTTTGTATGGAGTTGCCTACATAACCTCTAGACTCCATTTGACCCATACTTTAACTAAGAATTTGAGGGCTTACACCCCTTGTTACTACTGCCGTGATCAGGACTGCCGTCCCCTGTCACTCACCCGCAGGAGCCGCGGGGATCAGTCGAGGTTCTTGTTGTAGTGCCCTGGATCGCAGGGCGCTCTCCTCAACGTCCCTCTTACTCAGGTCCCTCTTCGGGCGCCACTTGTCGCGAGCCGCAACGTCAGAATCCTGCCAGCAGGTCCCAAACCTGAGGGAAGAGCAACAGGAGAGCAAACAGTCTCACATACTTAGTTCCAGGCTCATGCTCTCTTTGTAGCAAGGCCCCGTTTATTTTTCAGGGTGGGGTATATATAGGCTAAAACCGAAACCAAAAGGGTAAACAGAGTGTAGCCGACTGCAAAGGTCACAAAGTTCTACAAAACAAGTATTATGGGTTACATTTGCTAGGCAACAGGTCAGACCACCAGTTGAACTAGCCGGTTACTAGGGGCGACAGCACATCCGTGCCGGCGAGGTGACTCAAAGTTCAATCACGGCCGTGCCTATGTCAAGGCTCACCACAAAGGCTCACCGTACCATCCCTTTTTCATTTCTCCGTCTCTGAGAGAGGATCTGGGTAAATTCCCCAGGCTGAGCCCAGATTTGCAATGCTCCCACTTCCGTAAGTGTCAGTGAGAGGCACGGGCAGAGCTAGAAAGCAAGAGAAAACAGGGAGGGGACTTCCAGGACGGCACCCTAACAAAAGAGGGGAACCAGCTTTTATGGATTAGCTGAGGTGGGCTAGGATCTGGTCCCTCATTATCTCGGTTTCAGTTTAGCAAAGTGTTTCTGAGTCTTGTCTCTGCTCAGGGCAGTCTTAGTCTTTCAGAGACTCTGCTGGAATCCAAGGTGACCACAGGTTTAGGGGCAATGGCTGGTGACTTTTGGACACTTGCTGGTAGGTGAATGTCCCTGCAAATCTCTTTATCTTATCTCGGTGTCCTCAGTTTTTTGGGGGGCAGTGAGCCAGGTTGTATAAATGTAGCACTATTTAACCTTGTCTTGCCAGCTTTGAGACAGACGCTCCCTAATGGTCAGCATGCCCATATGCAGAGCTGAGCAAAGGTCTGGTGAAAGTCTGGAAGTAACAGAGATTACTGGTACAGCACGATGTAAGGCACATACCTCTAGTCCCAGCATTCTGGAAGGCTGAGCCAGGATGATTTTAAACTCTAGTCTAGCCAGGGCAACTTGTCTCAAAATAAAAAAATAAAAAGGGCTGGGGATGTAGCTCAGTGTGAAGGCCCTGGGTTCAACTGACAGTTCAAAGAGAGAGAGAGAGAGAGAGAGAGAGAGAAGAGATGAAGGTCAATATATGTTCTGCTCTTTGTCACCCACTGGGCATCCACAACCCCAAATGAAGAGCTGCTGCTTTTCAGCAAAAGCAGCTTTTGGTCCCCCCCCCGCAAAAAAAAACAAGAGCTGACTGGGTGTGGTGGCCCCACTCCTGTAATCCCAGCACTCGGGAGACTGAGGCCGGAGGATCACCAGAAATCCAAGGCCAGCCTGGGCTATGTAACAAAACCCTGACTCAAAACTAAAAAAAAAAAAAAAAAAAAATGGCAGTGGTAAAGTTTATTTGAAAAAGTAAAAGTGAAGAGCGAGGGAGGAACAGGCTCTGCAGAGCTAGCTGGGGCAGAGGAAAAGAGGAAAAAGCAAGATAAGAGTACACCCTGGAGGAAGCAGGGGCGGGCTATCAGCGAAGAAAGCTACAATAGCCAAAAATCAAGTTAATAAGTAAAAGGTTAAAGGACTGGGAATTTATCCTTAATCCCCGTGGCGGTCTCTGTCTCAGATGGATGGATAGATAAATGGATGAATGGGTCAAATTACATTTGAGCAGCAAAGAGATTGGCTCTCCAAAACAGACTTTATCTGGTAATAGCAGAGAATTGCATTTGCAATTTTCAGGATACATGTTCTGTGGTAGAGCACAGGTACATTCAAAGAGATTAAGGAAAGAAGAAACTTTTTGTGTGACTTGGCTTGGTTTTAGGGGTGCTAGGGATTTAATCTTGGTGTTGGTAGTGTTAGGTAAGCACTCAAACATGGATCTATATCCTTGACCCAATACTTATTTATTTTTGGTTTGGGTTTTGTTTTTTCTTTTTGTTTTTTTGGTGGGGGGTTTGAGACAGGGTCTCACTATGTAGTTGAGACTGACCTGGAACTCATTATGTAGCCCAGGCTGGTTTTGAACTCACGATCCTCCTACCTCAGCCTCCTGAGTGCTGGGATTACAGGTGTGCGACTCCACGCCCGGCTTGTTTTGTTTTTTCTGTACCAGGGATCAAACTCAGGACCTTGCACTTGCCAAGCAGGCATGGCACCACTGAGCTACATCATGTTTTTGTGTTTGTTTCGTGCACGTGTGTGTGCGTGCATGCATGCGTGTGTGTGTGTGTGTGTGTGTGTGTGTGTGTGCGTGTGTGTGTTTGAGACAGGATCTCATTCTGTAGCCCACACTGGCCTCAAATTCACAGCTGTCCTCTTGCTTCAGCCTCCTAAGTGCTGGGATTACAGATGTGCACCATCATGCCCACCAGATGTTGCATTTCTAAGAAGCCCCAGGGGATGTTGAGAATGTGGGAGATTTTTACCGGAATGGCTGGAGAGTGGGGACTTTTCTTGCAGAAGGCATCTGTGTGCTTTTATTCCCGTAGGCTGCCAAGGTCACTTTCTTCTGGGTGAGGGAGTTCTTTCCCAATATCAAATTGCAAGTGAGAAATCAGCACAAGAATATGAACTGGGAGCCGGGCATGGTGGTACATTGTGATCCCAGCTGAGGGAACCTGAGGCAGGAAGAGCACCTCAAATTCAATGCCTGGGATGCATAATAACTTCAAGGCCTACTGGAAGCAAGACCCTGCCTCAAA